TTTCTAAATATTACTTTTGCGAATTTGTAACCTATCAAGGAGACAGAGGTTGGTAATTTGTATGAATTTGGGTTATCAAATTCTTTTGTTTGTGTTTTTTTTTTATAATAATTTTTTATGTATCAAAAGAGAGATTTATATTGCAATAGAAAAGAATAATTAAAGATTCTCTCATAATAACTAATCAAATTAAAATAAAAGAAAATTTAAGTTGGGTTTAATTAAATTTGCTATTTCAATATGTTTTTACATTTTTCAGCAAGAGATTAAATCTCACTGAATAAATGAACTTGGTTGACTCTTTATTTAAAGTAGGGTTTATGTGAAGAGTATTTTTAATTAGGTTTCACTTTTCCAAGTTGCTCTCGACTCATGTCATAGTGCCTAGTGGAGAGGAGATGTGAAGATTTAAAAATGTGATTATGAACTCCAACATTACAATTATAGTTTTTTTAAAATATATATATATATATGAGCTGATATTAAAAGGTCGAATTCTGATGTTTAAATTAAGTTTTAATATTTAAAATTGTGTAAATTTAATTATTGTTCTTTAAAAATATTCTAATAAACTCTTAACTAAGACTAAGTTTCTGTTCTCAACTTCATCATTTTTACCTTTACACCAATAAATGTTTGAACTTCGTGCCAACATGAACTTTGTCGTAACTGYCTTGACCAAGAAGTAACTGTGCCAACATGAGCGGACTAAATGTTCGAATCCTTCAACCCACTACTAAATGTTCGAACTTAGCCAAATTAGTTCATCACATCATCTTGAATATATGAATTCTTTTTTTAATACAAAAAATTTGGATGATTAACATAAAACAAATTAATTTAATGACTTAGTTTGGTTCGTGCTTTGTTAATACGAACTAGGCTAAGCCAACATAGATATAACTATTGCTTAAAACTTTTTTTTTTTAATGAAACGGGTGAGGCATCTTACTACTTGTATTTAAAAAAAAATTATAATTTTATAATAAAATGATGTAACTCATACGAGCCTAATTCCAACCAATTATACAAGATTAATATATCGACATAAAATTTAAAAATCTGTAGGCAAAATAGGTGCAATTTCTATTTTGGACGACAAGTCGACCTTTAGAAAACCACACGTCGTTTTAGAGAAACCATTTTTATGTAGCTTTAAAGCTGAATCCCTTTCCTGCTGTAACGATGATAAATGTGAATCGGCCATGGAAGACGAATCCTTGCAGAAGGTTGCGATTTCAGGCCCAATCTTAGCCTCCTTGATCCAGCGCTTCTCCTCCACCGCCGGCGCCGTCGACGGCCTACTCTTCGGCCATGTCTCCGAAATTACACCCTTGTCGCTCTCCGATGACTCATCCTCCTCTACCAACATCGAACCATCGGTACGCGTCGCCACCGTCACCAGATTTCTCTGCTCCGGCACCACCAATAGCTTCTACGATTCTTCTGGGCAAGTTGATTCCCAATCCCTAAACCGCCTTCTCAGCCACCACGCCGACGGCCACGCTCAAACCCACGACTCTTTGATTGGATGGTTTTCCGGCCGCCGGAGAACTCAGCTTCGGCCTTCCATGCGTGAATTCTTAGTGAGTCTCTCTTTGTCTTCGATGAAGCAATTGTCGATTCCTGTCAAAGACGCTGTGAATCCCACCAATCTAACCCCTAGTGTGTTTCTGCTTCTCACTTCGCCGCAATCCGATCGAATTATCCACACCCACGAGTACCGCGCTTTCCAATTTCGGCCCTCCAATGAGTTGTTTGAGGCGAAATCGATCGACATTGTGAACATTGGGCCGGCATTTCGTGGTCACTACGGGTCGTTTACCCCCGATTCCCCTTTCCCCCATTTGGTCTGCGAGATGAGGGTTTCTCCGATGAATGAGGATAAGAACGATGAGAATTTGAATCTGATAAAGCAGAACTCGAAGGATCAGAAGCAACTGAATATGTGCGCCGAAGGGTTTGAGGTTGGGAGCTTGACCCGGTTACTGGGTTCGGAGGCAGCAAATTATACTGCTGGGTTGGAGGATTTATACGAAAAGATGCTTGCCAAGGTCGAGAACTTGGCCCGGCTCGTCGAGAAGAGCTCCACCCAAGTCCTTGAGCAGGTATTCAATCACTTCTAAATGAATAAACTGTTCTCTTGTTTGCCACTGCTCAATGCTCCTCTTGATTGTTCAAGCTCTGCTAGATCTTATATATCATTCTGAACCTTTTTTCAGGAAAATCACAACAGGAAGTTAAAATACAAAGTTGCTAGATGCCCTGGATTTGAGTAGGAAGTTTGTTCTTACTACCGGCGTTTTTGTTCATGTAAGATGATTTCATCCTCTCCCATCATCTTAATGTCATTTGCATTCTATGTCTCTTTCCAATGTCACTGGATGCAAGAGCAAGACCTTTGTTTTTCTTGAAATCCATATGGCTGAACTTTCATTCGATGATATATTTGTGATTAGGTTTTCTTTCAAGTGAAAATGGGTCTGATCTTATTAGGTTTAATTTATGGTCTACTGTTGTTTTATTGTTAGGTTAGGGTATGTAAAGAATTATGAGTGGAAGTTCCTTTAATCAAGTTTTAAGATGAATGTAGGGAGTTCTGTCTGGTGGTATTTAGTCTCAATCAATTCATCATGTTGCTTAAGTCTTGCTCCACTCTCGAACGATCTATTCTATTGTTCTCCCTCTGAAATTTTGAGGTGCAGACCGTTAATTTTTCTCTGTATGCTGAATGCTTCTGAATAGAACTGTTGTTGTTGAGATGCATATGATCCTGATTTCTTGTAAAAGAATGTGTATTTTCCATGGCAAGAGTTGAAATATCGGTTTTCCAAGTCGTGAAAACCAGTACTTAAATGGATATATTGCCTTTTTTCTTTTCTTAATGAAGTGTTGTTTATTAATAAAGGAGAAAGGAGAAGGAGAAGGTGATATCTCTGCTTTCTTGAAGTTTGATTAAAGAATCCATTTTTCCCCTTTGCTTTATTATGGAGTTGGCGAGTTCTTGGTGCAAAATGTGATGTGTGTTCACAAATTATTAGTCCATTTTTAAGTGTAGGCACCATTTTCCACCCTTTCACATATGACACAAGAAAGATACCCCCACTTCCCAGCCTGAAATACAATGTCTCAAGAAAGACGTTGGGGAGCTCATCCCGTAATTTCTCGCTTCCTACCAATCTCGTCATTCTTCTGTATAGTACATCCTCGTTTCACAAACGTTAGGGATTTATGTCTTCCATGTCTTGAACATGTTGGTTCTACTTGGTGTGACTAATTTATTGTTTTTGACCTATTCATTTTGCATTTCTAATCTTTCTTTCTTGGCTTCCAATGCCAATTCTTTCATGTTTAAGCACACTGATAAACATTAAGTCACCGGACAAGAAACAACCCACTGTTTTTATCAGCTGTGGGGGAGAGTCATTAGGAACCAAGTAAAACCAGGTCATTCAAGGCAAAAAAGTAGAGAAAACACAATCTGCAGACTGCAACATCTATCTCTATCTAACCGCCATTTCTTCATTTTCATCTATCTTGAAGCAGGGATTGCAACAGTCGACCTCGCAACAAAACCGAAAACTTTTGCCATCGAAACCTTGGTGTGTTGATACTACAATGGTAACTGCTGAGAGCTACCTAGCAATCCTGAGAGAGAAGTGGTAGGAATGACCTTAGCTTAGGCAGCTGTTTGTGGGTTGCCCCCACAGACAGCCTACGCTTTGTGGATGTTCACCTTCTATAATGTCATTCCCAGCCTTTTTGTCACTTGAAAAACCTACTCTGTGTCATATGATTTAATATAATTCCATTCAAAGTGCTCTGTTCTTGATTGGGTTCTCATCAAGGTTGATACTTTCTGAGTTTTTAATGAATTCTCTAAGCTCCCTTTTAGGAAAAAGCTTTAAGGTGCTGTTTGGGTCTAATTTTGGTACAATTGTTTTGTAAAGGTGTGATTGGGAAGGAACTCTTATAGATCATTCATAGGTTATTGCGTGTTGATCTCTCCTGTTCATGGGGGTTTCTTTTACTTCTTATTTTGAGGAATAAAGAATACTTGAAGGTTCTTCTCAAATCATGATCAGATAAGAACCAGTGAATAGATAATAAATTATGTATCGTACAAAACTACATATTATCGATGAAAAGGTCATGTACAACGGAGTTTTATGAGTAGAATATTGAAAGAAGATAGGGGCGTACTGCAACTTCTAGTGTACTTTTTGTAGTTTTTTATGATACATAACTTCTTTAATGCGTAGTTGAGAGTGATATCAGTGTTTTTTCTTATGGAAAAGTCATAACGAAAAAAAAAACTCATTCACATACCAAGGGAATTTTTGGGGATCATTACTTGTTTTTATTGATCCTGAAATTCCACCCCTCTAAATATTAAAGAAATTATGTATCATAAAAAATACATATTATAGATTTAAAAAAAAAAAAAAAGGCTGTATAGTCTGGGATTTTATGAGTAGAATATTGAAAGATGGGCCTCTATACTGCAACCCCTCGTATACTTTTTTTAGTAAGCTATTAACTTTACATTCGAGGTTTATTTTAATTATTTGGAAGAAAGAAAGCTTCCTTCCGTTCTAGTTTCTTTCTCGTTTTTGAACAAGTTGCTCTTTTGGTAAAAGAAAAAGCTTAAAGGGATAACTTCACTCGTGATGTTATTGTAACCATTTATTATTATTATTATTTTTCTTTCTTTTCTTTTCTGAGTTTGGGGAGGATAGATGAAACTAATATTTGTCTTCTTTCACTTTGAAATCTCTTATAACCATTGAGTGGGTTTTCTCTTTTTTAGGTAAAAAATGATAAAAGAGATTCGAATCGGGATGGAGGATTCAAACCTCCAACTTTCAAAGAGACAAGTAGGGACAAATGATTATATTTTGAAAGTTCATGGACCAAAATGACTATTTAAAAAAAAAGTTAAAAGATTGAAATATATATTTTGAATGTTTTGGAATTAAAATAACAAAATTGAAAGCCCAGGACCAAAATGAGATTTTGAACCAAGAAGTTGTCACATTTCTTTTCTTTTTTTTTTTTTTCTATCTCTCTCTTTTAAATAAGATCAAATAATAATTTGAACTTCTTGTGATTAGTTTCAACTTAATCTTTATGATAAAATTTTCAAAATATCCTTGTTATAAGAAATTAAAGCAAAGATAGTGTTTCATTAAATAAAAGATGTCACGTGGGCTATAGTTGAGGAGAGCCATCCTCACTAGTGCGCTTAAGCCAAAAAGAAATTACAATTAAATTATATGTAGTTGAGGAGAGAGGCTTCCTCCAACGTGATATCTAACAACCAATTCAATTTATCTTTAAAGGTCGTCCTTCACCATTGATGAGCTACAATGGACGAATCAAAATACCTTCCAAAATCGTTAGGAATTCTACAAGCATATGTAACAAAGGGGATGTGATGTAAAAAATCAGATAGTACTCTGAATGTCCTTGGATCCCAACCCATAGACATTTCAACATATGATTTTCATGGCATCTGACGAAGTTGCTCAACAACCTTCGCCGACATAATATGTAGTGGCTCATTCGAAGTTATTGCAACTTGTTTCGTTAACATCTAATGTTAAGAAAACGTGTCACATGATACCATGTCGAGTAGGAGAATTGTAATGAGATATTATAGTTTTGAATCTTATTATAGTTCTAAAATTTGGTTAATTTACAAATGAGTCTTGGATTTAGATAGTTGTCTAAAGGTTCTCTAAGTTTTAGAAAAAGTTTAATCAATTCCTACATATAATATGTCTCTAATCTATTACACTTTTTATTTAATTTGTTGGAGAAAGAATCTATTACAGATTTTTTAAAATTCAATAAAGTGAATGCAAATGCAAAAGCTATGCGTGGAGAGGGCAAAAGAGAGAGAGAAAAAGAAAAAGAAAAATGAAAACCGAAGCAACAAGTACAACTTTACTGCTGTTGACAAAGACGCGTTGGGACAATTACGTAAATTGACCCACAAACTCTACCCGTGCGGATGGGCCCCACACGCAGACAGATATTACTTGGGGAACAAGCAGTCGCTTTAAAAATCGGCTTCTTCCTCTGCCACCATCGCCGAAATTCCCCTCTTCATATTTATCCTCTGCCTCACACTCACACTACTTTCAATTTTTTTTCTGAACCCAAAACCAAAAGTTAACTTCGTGGCTAAGAAAGCAACGAAAGAAAGCCAAAACTCCACGTACACACATCTCTCTGAATTCCCCACCACTCACCACAACATTCATCAGAAACGTCATCAATTTGGATATTTCCTTTCCTTTCACAGATGCCTATAAAAACCCCTCTCTTTAGGTTTCTTATCCTTTTACACCCCTTCTCAAACTCTTCTCTACAACTACAACAGGAAAGAAAAGCCTTCGTTCAATCGAGAGTTTGAAGAAGCGCATGACGTCTGAGATTTCTAGTGGGTATGTATGTTTCTTCCTCTTTGGTTTCTCCATCTGGGTTCTTTCTCTTTTGCTGTTTTATTGAGCTGTTTTCTGATATGTGATTGCAGGGAAAAGACATCGAGGAAGAGGAGAAATGGGTATGTTTCTGTAGTGGACACTCTGAACGAGTGGAAGAAGTTGAACAATCAGTTGGATTTGGCTAAAGATGGAGAAGAAGAGGTTCGTAGAGTACCAGCCAAGGGCTCTAAGAAGGGCTGTATGAGAGGGAAAGGGGGCCCTCAGAATTCTGACTGCAACTTCAGAGGCGTTAGACAGAGGACTTGGGGGAAGTGGGTGGCTGAAATTCGAGAGCCAATTGCGAGCAATAGCCGTACCAAGAAGAAAGGCAGTCGCCTATGGCTTGGAACTTTTGCCACTGCTCAACAGGCTGCTCTTGCTTATGATGAAGCTGCTAAAGCCATGTATGGCCCTTTTGCTCGCCTCAACTTCCCTGATTCTTCTTCTCCTCCTCCTCCTCTGAGACCAGCAATGGCAGAGCATTCTGATGCAATATCACCGGTTGCTTCTTACTCTTCTTCTTCTTCCTCCAATGGATTGTCTACACAGAGATTCAACTGTTATTCAATGGAGAAGAAAGAGAATTGTGGGTACGACTCAATGGAGGAACTGAAGGTGACAGTTGGTGAATCTTTGGAAAGAAGCAGAGTAGATTATTCAGATATGGCCACTCATTCCCAAGCTAAACCCAGTTCTAACTTTGGAGACAGATTAGCAGAAGAGAATATCAAGGAAGAATTAGAAGATGTCTTGAGAAGATGTGATCTTAGTACAGATGGCCATGATCGTAATGACCCTTCTGAGCTTAGTTTTAAACTCGAGGATATGGAAACAAATGGCTGCAATGGCTTCAACGATTGCAATCAATATGTGATTCAGAAGCTTCAGAGTGATCCATATGCAAGAACTTATTGGATTCCGACGGACTGGGAGCCAGGCGAGCCCGTCGATCTCGGGGTACCGACAGTGGTCGGAAGAAAACCAACAGAGATGAATAGCTATGGAGACTGTATGGCCTTCAACCATGATCTGAGTTTCTTGCTGGATAGGCAAAAACACATGGGAGTTGGAGACCTGAGAGTTGATGATAGTAACTTCGACTTTCTGAGACCTGATTATGATTTTGGGTTGGAGGAGGAAAGAAGGTGGCTTGATTCATGCTTCCATGGATGAAGATAGAAGATAGAAGATAGAAGATTAGGCAGGGTATTTTTTGTACCAATTTGATTCCATTTTGAGGGTACATACTCTTCTTTTTCTTGTTTCCCTTCGCCTTCTTGCAGGCGCCTGTTCTTTTGTGCACCTTTAGTAATAAGAGATTTAGAATGATTTATCAATATTCATTATCTTCTAAGCAGTTCTAACATATTTAGAGAAGTGCTAAGATAAGAACGCGACATATTCGATACTTCAAATACAAGTTAAGGATGGCAGAACAATTACCCCCTGCATTTTCATTAGTAATGTGATGGGATTAAGATGAGTAAACCCTCCGTCCAGTGAATATTTGCTGTAAACTGCAAACATGCTCTGGAACTGTTGCATCGAATTGGGCAGCTCTGTTTAAAAGATAAAAAGCTGTCATGTCAGTAGTCTGAGCTCTTTAAATTGTTAGGGAAGATATCCAAATCCTCGTATTCAACGCCAACTAGAGATGAGCTTTACGAAGTTCGAGAAGCTTGAGCTTTAGTACTTCAATCACTTTTTCCCTCGACCTCATTGAAAACCATCTCCCATGGCCCACCCTTCGTGCCCAATCTGAGTTCAGTGTGATATGATATTTGACGAATAGGAAAAGTTAGCCATTAAGTGAGGTGGAAAATTTTTCTACTCTATAAATGGAAAAGTGAACTTCATGCAACAAAGGTTAACCAACATTTTTGTCCCATGTAACAATTTAAATCCTGATGAAAGATTTCATCTAGATATTTATTTTTATTATATAACAATTTAATATTGGTAATTTATAAATACATTTGGTCCCTTGTCCATCTAGTCCATCTATTAACCGACATATAAGAAACCTTATTCAAATATTAACAATATTTATCATATAGAGACTAAATTATTACAAACATTTAACTAAAAAGATTAAATTGTTAGACATTCAAATATTGACAATATTTATCATAATAGAGCCTAAATCGTTAGAAAGACTAAATTGTCAGATAATTCATGGAATAATTTGTTATCAATTTAGAGTACATTGACTAAACATTTCAAACTAAATCCACCAAAGTTGTTCTACCTATAAGAAAAAAGAATTGTTTCCTACTTTTCTGCTTTTAGTCTATCACTGAATTCTTTATGAGCAGGATTGAGAAGCAAAATTAGAAAGATAGATAGGCTTATTTTAAAAATAAAAAATAAATGGCCGGTTCTTGCTATTTTGTGAACATAAAAAGTATTGTTCATAAAATATATATAGAGAGAAAACTATTGTTCGTTAAAATACTATCTTGGTCTTTGTACTTTTAGCTTTGGTTTATTTTAATTTATATACTTCTAAAATATTAATTTTAGTCATTGTACTTTCAATATGCTCGTTTTGGTACTTATACTCTTAAAAAGTGATCAATTTGGTCCCTTAATTTTATTTTAAATCTTATTTTTCTATCACAGTTTCAACATGACATTACACTTAATATATTTATTAAAATGTAATCATAACTTTATATTAAATCATTTTCATTATGTGTAAAATTTGTGTAAAAAGTTTGAAAATATGGACCAAAATAGTTACTTTTAAATGCAGGAACCAAAACGAAGATTTTGAAAGTATAGGATCTAAAATGAAACAAAGTTGAAAGTATATAGATCAAATTGAATATTTTAAAAGTATAGATACAAAAATGAACCTAAACTAGAAAAGTACAAATAGTATTTTAACCAATATTATATGGCGGACAGCCATGAGTCAACCGGGCATACGAGCCAATGAGGTAATGGATTATGGGGTGGGTAGTTTGAGAATAATTTTTGTGCCCGACCTAAGTGAAATTTATGGCTTAAAGATGTATTATTTCTTCGTGATATGAAATGTCCAGTAGGCCTAGGATTCACTGGTGATGCGAATGAAATTTACTTTTTTGTTTCGAGCTGTGTCCTCACATCTGATTAGCAATCGTTCAACCATGGATTGTCAAGTTTAACATGATATGGCGTGATATGCAGGGTCAGATAATACCTCCAAATTCCAGCTACTAAACGCAACATCATGAAGAGAAACAATCCACTCCAAACCCCAGGGAGGCCAAATGCAGGAGCGGCCACGATCAGGAAGAGAGAAGAAACCAGTCCAACAGCCACCTGCTCTTCTTTAGGCTAAATTAATACATATCTTTACAAAAAAAACAAAAACAAAAAACAAAATAAAACAAAACAAAAACAAGAACAAACAAACAAACAAAACTCAAAGGCATTAGTTTCACTTGCAAGATGAAGAACGGAATACCATGGAGTAGGCTGCATATCCGAAGTCTGAAACTCCATAGTAGAGCCCATCTACAACGAAAGCCATAGCATTCACTGGTTGCGATCCAGCAACAAACTGCAAAAAATATGGCTAGGATAAGGTCAACCGATCACAATAGGGCATGCACGATGCGTATTCTGGTGGTCTTTATGCGGCACCATGAGAGAAATAACTGGATCTTCTTAGACAAGTGAAAAACAGACAACTAGCTATTCATTCCCCCAACTTCAGGATGATATACCCTACAGCAATGGTGTTGTAGATACCAATCAAATGCAAAGCACATCAATAATGAATTGTTAGGCAGGATTCTATATCGCCCGAGCAAATATTTTACATGATGAAAATTGATCCTAAAAATAAGGAAATTCAAAGGTAACGGACCAGACCAGTCATCCAAAGATCTCCATTGTAAAGTTTCTTAAGCATTGATTGAAAAGGTACAAAGCCAAAAAGCCAATTATTCAGATAACATATTCTTACAAATAACCCAGATCGTGCAATTTCCAGAACTTCTGCATCAGCACTGAATAAACCAGCAAATGCGCCAAATCCCAGGAATAGGATAATAGCCAGAGAAATTCCAGTGATCAAGCCAATCTGTAACAGAGAGGTATCCAGGATCATGCATGATACTAAAGGAATAAAAGATTCATCACTTCCATTTTGACAAGAAAGAACAAAATATAATCACTGAGAAATAGTATATTAATGTTTGAGTTTCTACTGACCTGTAAAACTCTATAAATCACTTCACGTGAGTGTTCATAGTCTTGAAGGGTGTAGCTACTTGCTAATAATGCCTGCAAAACAAATGAAAGAATGTACGCATTAACCAGGACCAACAAAAAGTAAATTTTCTTTCAACAATATGTAACCTGAAGATGAAATATAGTGATGTAACTCAGTTAAGAATAGAATCAACAGCAAACACGATTTTACAAGGACTTAGCATACATAAAATATTCTCTTTAAATATATATAAAAAAAAAAACTATTCAACAACAAAGTTTTGCTCCTAGTGCCCAATTCATCACCAAGGGCTCATGACAGCAAATTCTTCAGCAACCCAAAGTCAAAAACAAATCATCAAGGTGACCATCTACCAACATTACTTAAATAACCTTTTAGTTTTAAAATGTCAAATATTATACAGGCGGATAGTTCAGTCTTTTGAGATTGGTCATTGCATGTAAGCAGTAAACTAGCTCCAACGCAAGTGATTTCCAATTGAGTCTTGCTCTACAATAATTCTAAATCCAAGTTTCAACCACCCGGTAAGACTATTGGCAGAATGCAAAAACAAGATAACCAGCTATGCAGAAGATCATGAGTGGAGCATTATAAACAGTGAGGCAAAACACATAACTGGATGCCTTATAAATAGCTAAACCAAGAAAAAAGCTAAAGGCTTTGCTGATTATGAGTTGTGATACCCTAACTAATGAGGCAATCACTGTACCTGACCAGCAAGTGCTAAAGCATCAGTAAGCAAAGATATGGCCAACCATATTTGTACACAAATTTGATAACCAGCCATGGGTACAGGGCCTTCTCTAGCTGCCATGGATGTTGCCAGAGTAAGGGTTACAAGCACAGCCAATGTCCGGCCCATTAAGAGACCACCTGAGACATACAGCAGGCGAAGTTACAACCAAGCAGGAAATTTGAAGTTACAAATTTTATTTTTATTCATACAAGAATAAAAATAAAAACACACACAGGCACACATTAGCTGTAGATTTGCTTGCAGAATGATGGATTACATATTTCAAACAAACTCATTTGAGAAAAAGGAACGAAATAGGAACAAGTTACTTAAACAAATTGATTAACTAACTTGACTTCTTAATCTTCTTTTTGCTATCAGAAATATATGTTTAATGAAGGATGGCATCAACTTCCTTTGATAAGATTCATCCGGAATTAATAGTAAGTTAGAAAATCTATAGGAAAAATATTTTCCTGTAGATATATATTACACTAAAAAAAAAATCCTTTTTGTTTTGGGATATTGATAAAAGATCAATCACCCATATAATAAAGCCATAGCTGATCCATTAAACAAGCCAAGGGCATAGTTTGTAAAGTCAATTCATTTGATCATTTCCAGCAACATTGACATGATCAACAACTCATCTATAAGACAAATAAAGTGACTAGAAGGCAATCTATAGGTGAAACTTGAAAGAAAATACCAGATTGAAGATAGCGTGCAATTCTCTCCCCATCCATGCTTGAAAGAGTAAATGATATTTCTCCATTTAATTTCCACAAAAGAACGAAAGCAATCAGATACCTGATGACGGAGCATCATTCATCAGGAAACAACAATAACATCATTTCCTAATATAATCTTAGGAACTCATCTCAAGCGCTAATGCCAAATAATTAAGTTTACCACATTGTTGACGTACTCAGATATCACTGTCGCAATTGCAGCACCTCCAATGCCAAAACCACAAAGAAATATCAATAGTGGATCCAGTGCTGCATTCAGTAAATTACCAGCAGCTGACACAGCAAAATCATTTTCATATAAATTAATTATGAACAATTTTCATATTCACATCACAAAAAGATAGTTGAGAACAATGCCCCGTTCAAAAAGATTACAAAATAATAAATAGGAATAAAACCAATACATAGAAACATATGACAGAAGTAGTATTCCAAGAAACTTGCCAGTAGCATACAAAGGTGTTTTTGTATCCTTAAATCCGCGAAAAGTTCCTTGTGCAGCAAGTGCAATTACAATAGGTGGAGCACCAAAAGCCCTCAGAGACAAAAATTGCTCAGCAGGTGCACGCATTGAGGACTCCTACAACAACATATATATGCATACTCATAAGAGAAAGATGACACATAAAACCAGAACCAAACAATCAATCACTATGTGTGCACTTAGAGAAAGAGAGTGAGAGACTAAATGTTGGCAGAGAACATAAACGGATGATCTGGTGAGAAATAACTGAAAAATCAAGGAGGATAACAAGTCAGAATACTATAAAACGAATTGGTTAAGCTTGACATACAGCAGGTATACCCATGATATCCATAAGAGCTCCTGAACCAAGACATAGCATAACAGCTTCAGCAATTCCGAGACCAGCAGCAAGTGCTAAAGAAGTAGATACAGAGGAAAGGAGCTTCTTTTCTTGATTCTCATCTATGCCATCTATATGGTCAAATAAAGTCCATGACTTCATTGAAGACAATGTAGAATTTGAAATATATATATACTGAACTCAAAAGGTAATTACCGATATTTGTTTGAACAATACTTTTCTCCTTCGTACTTACTAATGCCTGCTCTTCAGCAACAAATGAAGTAGTGATGTTGAGTAACGGAACATTGAATAACTTTGACACCAAATTGAATATTGAAGCTGATACCCCAACTGCCGCCAGCTCAGTGGATCCTACAAAGAGAATGTACATGGCATGCTGCTGCAGTCGTCAATATAACATTCAATATGGTGAAATATTACACTTCTGGAATTAATTTCAAAATCAGAACCACTGTCATCACATTTCTCACTCATCTAAAGTTCAATTACGAACTTTTGTCTCCAATTGAAGACTCCAGGTCCAGATAAGTAAATAAATATAATAAATGTTCCTTTTGCACAATCCAGATAAATATTACCGAAATTATAGCAAATTTATACCTATATGACCAACAAAAGCCGTATCGACCAACGATGCAATTGGATCAGCAGCCAAAGCCAGGGCAGCAGGCAATGCAATCGCCAATACGTCCAGCGCAAGTTGATCGAACTTAAAAACCGCATCCCTAGGAAAATTAAAGAAATCAAATTCCGAAATAAGTAGAACTGAATAAGTATAATGCTGCATTTTCTTGCATAAGAACGTACTTCAGATTTTAGAAATGAAAATATCGACTAATATCAAGACCTGTTGCTATATTTGAACTTTTCATAAGATATGGTAAAACTAAATTCCGGAGAGAGATCAATTCAACCTCCTCGGTGAAAGCATACCTAACACGATTGAGAAGTGGAACTGAGACAGGCGCAGACAACAAGGAGTTGGACGACTTGGCCGGCTTGTCTCGACGAACCTGCTCGGATGAGGCTGAAGACTTTGGTTCTTCCGGCGGACTCTTCAGCGAAGTAGTAAAATTCTTCTGAAACAACGCTTTTGGCAAAGATCGAAACCGGACTTTACAATTGGCGTTTCTGCGCAGCATTTGAATTTTCGAAGACAAATTAGTGTCGGTGCTGAAGCACGGAACGTAGATTGCGGAGAGAGCGGCAGCCATCTCCGATCAATGAGAGCTAAAACAGTGTAATGGCCGGTCGAAGGAGGTTGCGAATCGAGAAGACGAAACCATATTATATACTTGTCCCCATTTGTAAGGACGAATTTTCGACGGACGGAATTGCAGCTCGCCATAGAAATATCTGTGGGTCTTTTTCTTCTTCTTTTTCGTGGCTGTTCTTTTAATAAATCTACTTTTCCAAATTTCATTGCCACATATATCTTTTTATTTTTTATACAATATAGTTTTCATGTTTTGAAATGTTTACAAATATGTACGTCGCAGTCAATTTAAATTTTATTTTTATTTTATATTTCTGTTTTTAAGTGATAGTTACTTACTAATATTTAGTTCAATCTTTTTAAAAGTAATCTAAAATATTATTAATTAACATTTTTATAACAAATATTATTAAATTAATTTATTAACATATGTTATAAATTTAATATAATTATCTTTTTACCATATTATATTATATTATATATGTTCTAATTTTAATATACATGAAATTAATTTATAATCTAAAATAATATAGTTATCAAAGTTTTATCAATTATTTTAAAGTTTCAAACTCAAAATTAAAAAGTCTTGCTTTTGAAATGGAAATGCATTTTCAAAATTTCTACATTTTGAATCATGTAATAAAAAAACAGTTCAAAAAACAAATCAACTAGATACTAACTCGATTCGTTGAATTAAAAAACAATTCGTAAGAAAAAATCATGCATGATAAACATAAATTTTAAAACGCATCTAACAAATCTTTGAACTTTTAATTTTATATCTAACATGTCACTGAATTTTCAATGTTGTATCTAATATATCTTGAACCTCGACTTATAATTTACTTTTTAAAATTGGATGACTTTTTTTAATACAATAAATGTGTTGTATGAGATTTGAATCTCTAGCCTAAGGAAAGGAAAAGAGTCATGTCTTTGCTACTAAATTAGGTTCATATTGGCTTAAAATTAAATGACTTACTTAAAACATCGAGAAGTTTAGAGACTAATTAGACATTTTTTAAAGTTCAAAGATCGATAGACACAACACTTAAAAGTTTGACTATTGACATTTATTGGTTAGATAAAATTTGACGAAGTTAGGTGAGGTAGATACATACTAATGAGCATAGGAGTGAATCAAAGTTGTTGGAAATATAATCAAAATCTCCCGTTGGCTAGATAAGGAAAATATCATGAATATATAAATGAGGACAACATCTCCGTTGATATTATTAATGAAGCCTTTTGGGTGAAATAAAAAGTAAGGGTCACTTATCTCTAATATATTGTATTAGAGTTATGCCCCTAACTTAATCATGTCAATAGAATCATCAAGTGTCGAGCATATAAGCGGTGACGAGCCTATAAGATGTAGTAGCCATGACGTAATCTATGATTGAGCTCTATATTGAACATGTGGTGTGTAGTCTATTGAGCTTCCTCCCAAATAGTCATCTACCTGTCCCAATAAAGGAATATATTGTTAATGTAACTATGTTACAAGTTCCATAGTTTGGACAATTAAATTGTAATTTTTAACCAAGCTTTTCACTTTTAGGATATTAAATTAAATTCAACTATGTGGAGTGGAGATTCAAAAATCCGACATTTAGGACAAATGTAAGCTATATTCTAGTTAGCTCTTTTTTTTATTATTTTTTAAGATATAATCTTTCACTATAATGCCAAAAACACACTATTGAAGTAACTATTTTTAAAACAATAAAGTTCAGGAAAAAAAAACAAGATTGGTTTATCAATACAATTATTCATAAAAATAAGTGTTTTGAGTACCATATATAGAGGTAGAGATTCGAACTCATGAACTTTTAGTCAGATATAGGTGTCTTAACCACTTGAACTATTCTCGGTTTGACCACTTTAATATAAAGTAACTACCCATAGAAAGGTATAGGAAGATAATGGTAGCAACGTGAGGGTGGAAGAGGATTTTAAATAAAAATAATATTTTAATAAGAATAATTTACACATTAATTTTAAAAGTAAGGGCAAAATCCTTAATAAAGATAATTTAGATATTAATTTTAAAATTAAGGACAAAATTGTCCAATCTTTTTTTCCTTGTGTGTAGATATGTACTTTTTACATATACACAATATATGTACTTTTTATATATAGACAATATACACTTATGTATATAGATATAGATTTATGAAAGAAGTCGCAAAAGTGAAATATATTATGAAAATGGAATAACGGGTCCCTAATCGAGTTGGGCTAGGCCTTTTCGCGGCCCACTCTTTTGGATGAAATAACAGCGCCTATTTGATCTGCCTGGCCCAAAATAAACACTTTCTCTCTCTTTTTAGGTACAAAATAGTTGTACTTCAAAGAGGGAACTTTGGAATTTTACAAAATAATAAACAATAAAGTTTTGTTGCAAAAACATATATAGTGTGATTAAGAGTTTTTTCTTTTGATTAAAAAATATTACATCACATATGGACGAGAGATTCAAACCTACCATCTCTTAAAAGAATAAGATATCATCTTATTGACATCTCGAGAAAAGCACTTGATATATGAGATGGAGTTCCACGAATATGCAGGCTAGAAATTCTATCTATTTCTGTATTAAGTTTGAAGATCTCAATCTATAATGAACAAATGATAGTAGCTCTATGTTTTATAGGCTTTATTATATTAAGTCCGAAGAGTTTAGGTAATACTTTCAAAGCGACTCTCGATGGGAGAATCCAGTCTATTCAAGAAGAATCACAACAATTTCTCAATCCTAACGAAGTAGTTTCTTCGAAATCCAATGAACAACAACGATTACYTAGGATCAGTTTGCGAATTTGTGGCACCGTAGTCGAATCATTACCAATAGTGGCATGCTATGCGCCCAAGTGAGAAAAGATAGTACAAGTTTTGTTATGCCGAAACCTAAATGTTAAATCAGCAACACTTCCAAATGTCACTTCTTCCCATCGCATCCGTCTTTTGGACAATCTAGTCATAGGTTTTTACTTCTCAGTGAGTGAAAGATTTGTCCCCGAATGTACGTTGAAAGCTTGTATAGTCGAACTCATTTGAGTTGACTTGAACTATACTCATATTGGTGATATGTTTATATCTAAGGGTTTGTTAACACTGAAAAACAGTAGCTAATTGATTAGTTCTTTGAGTTCCTAAACGAAAACTACCCATTGAAAGAAAAATCAAATTATAATTAGTTTCAATACTTGAATAAATAAACAACTCTTAAGCTTATGAAGGATTATTTTCACGGGATTAAAAAATCGACGAAATAAATCGAAAATGAGATCGATGGCTCCAAAAAATTGACCAGAATAACATTGATAACTCAAAAGAAAGTTAATTTTGCTTGTTAATGGGGTCCTCCATCTTGAATAGTGTAATTAGTGTACTATTTGGTCAATCAAAGGATGCATGAAGACATGACTGACTACTTCAAACTTCAACCAACTCACTAATCAATTTTTATACGATACAAAATTTAAGCATAGATAGTCAACACGAGCATACTAAGCAGTTAAAGCATTTTGCTCTTTTTCAAAGGGGTAATAACTTCACTTCATTATACCCACGTTTATTGAATTTGAATTTTGAGTAATTTACTTGAAAAATTAAAAATAATAACAATAGCACTTAGTTATATTATGTTATACATATTGTAGATGTACGTAACATCAAATGTTACATATGGTTGAAGGAAAATATTTGGATAGGAGAGGGAGAGGAGGAAGAAGACGTCACCCCATTTGATACATCATAGGAAAATAAATAAAATAATAATAATAATAATTAATATATTTTGCCATGTAATCATAGTCCAATCAGCAAATGATAGCCGCTTGATTTTTCTATTAATTGACTAACAATAAATTAACTCTAAAAAAAGATAACAACGTTCAAGACACATGACTTTATACCCGCATCTCCATCCCCCTATTGTGTTCTTAGTTTATAATAAGTTACTAGTTTAATCATTAAAGTAAATACTTAAATTTGACTTGCGGTTATACTACGCATGTTAACAATTTTCTCAATTACATACCATTTTTTTTAAGTGCAAAAAAGAGGTAAGCATGACGACATTAGACTAGTTGGATTAGAGTTTGAATATTGGTAATAAAAAAAAGAGTTAAATTAAACAAAAAACTTATAATACAACAAACCAATTCAACCTTCATAGTTTGCATTCATGTCCTATACTCAGACTTCATATAAAGTTTTTGTTTCGTGAACTCTTTTTACTAATAAATTTTCGATTATCGCCATGTGCATAAAAGAGAATCATTCACGTTTTATTACAATGTATTTATAAGATTCAACTAAATAATAGAAATCAAACAAAAAGTACTAAAATTACAGAGACTAGATTAAAGTCTAACTACAAATCATAGAAATTAAAAATTATGGAAGAGTAAACAAATTTAAATGATTCCTCGAGTAATAAAATGTATGTGTATACATAAAAATTGATTTCAATTCATTCTAAACAAATAATCTGTTTGTGTAGAACCCCAAAAAAACTAACACAGAAGATTCAAGTTTTATAATTTTATAAACAAGCAATAAACAGCGGAAAGGAGAGTTAAGTGAAGCATGTATGATTCAGAGAAAAGTTATAGAAGAATACTCATTTCTCCCCTTCGGAGTCATGGATTCCATCTCCATGTTGACCACCACTCCAAAGATTAGAGAGCAAGAAGAAGCCGGGAAACTCAGGATGGATAGCGCCGGGATAAACAAAGAATGCGTCGAGGCAGATGATCATCGGGGAGACGATGGTGTCGAGATCGATGGCGCTATCCCTCCTGAGCTTAACGGATTCTTCCATGCTTTGGCAATGGGAAGAGGGAGGGTTTGGATTTGGTTTTTGATATGTTAATAATGTAAGCCAAGAGAAGGTAGGAGAAGGCCATCAAACCGAAGTTAATGCTGTGGGTGGGGAAGAAAGCAGTCGTATTTATAGCCTCAACGTGGGATTGTATCTCACCTTCCTCTCCTTTTTATCTCTTCAAAAATACTTATTTTTCCCTTTTTAATCATTTTATTTTATTCGGACACTTTGTGAGTGTTCAGGTCAATTTATGCTCACCTCAATTAATCTCACAAGACAACCGCCTAATTCTAAAGTAGGTGGCCATCATGATGTTTGAACTTATTCCCTCTCAGTTCCTTT